GTTGCGATTGGACCACTAGCTCAGTACCCTATCAGTAGCAGAGACTGGGTCAAACACAGCGCTGGTCTTCTCTGTTGTCCTCCTTGCTACAGAGTTCATTTGAGGATCGTAAAGCATAATCATTCATTATAGTCACTGACCTATTTTTATTCCTAGTTGATTAACCCGTTAGGGCTTGCGCTTCCGAAACCATGCTGTTAAGGCTCTTGAAGCATACTTCAACATACTAACGTATTTCGCAATGAAACGGTCTTAGACGGAAGAAATTTGAAATTGAATAGAAATGCGACAGGAATTATGAGACAACCCAATATGTCAGTTGTGTGACATGCGCTGAAATCAGTGCGGGCGTCAATGGGTTAAGTCTTGTTTGACCCACGTTGCGGTCATTACGAAATAACACAAAGCACGCAGAGCGGGTGCATATTTTCAAAGAAAATTTGGCTACCCCCTCCGATATACAGGTTGCAGGGTCAGACTGTTTGAAGCAATCGCTCATCGCAAATTAACCAAATACTGATACACTTCTTCGGAGCGGTTTTTTTGCATTTTATATATTGGCACGTAGGAGCACGTGATGAAAACCTATAAATGAGGTTCACGTTTTCTGAGCAGCCGTTAACGCCGAAAAGATGTAAAAGATCGAATCAGAGCTCGATTCTCTGTTGTGGCAAAATTGCAATCCTATGTTGGCGTCATTAAGCTGCCATTAAAAACTAATGGTGTATCCCTTACCAGATTATCGTATAAGTTTTATCGTGTAACTCATAAATTTCGGAGAATCCGATAGTTCGAGCCGACTCTGGAAGGGTGGGCTGGGTAGTGATACGCTCTCATGTATGCCGAACATAAGAACGCAACAACTTCTATGACTGGAGCTCGACACGAAACCTAGTGATACTTTTGACATCCTATTTCCATAAAAAACGAAAAATAAACGAAATTTTCACGTCTCCAGGGTAAGCAGCCGTCCAAACACCGATCTCTTGTAAAAGATCGGACCATGGCTAGGATTGGAGCAGGTATCAGATGCTGTTCAATGGAAAGAATGAGGGCCCAATCAGGCGTGCCTTGACGGAAAGGAAAACTTTCGATTTAGGCAATTTGCGTGTCCTGTAAGCCAAGTTGGTTGTATGTCACTGTACATTCCTGGAAGGAATTCATTATTACGATAGTAGGGAGAGAGGATGTCTCTTAAACCAAGATTGTGAAGGAAGGGAAGATACGGGCTCGCCTCCACTGAGAAGTCGCCCTCGTGGAGATCGTGAGGAGTTCGCTCGAAACACATGCTGAGACTCTCGGGGCTGAAGAGACCTCGATCAAATCTCTACATAACTACCAGGTTCACCCCGCCGTTCGATATCTTAGAATGGTCGCAGATCGTCATTGACAGATGGTGATCGTCATTATCTCTCATCTCCGTGCCTTTTCAGAGTTTTCCGCAGTTGAAGACAACTCAGCTCGTATTTCTTACGTTTTTCACGACTTTCGTTTCATTTTTTCTTCACCTTCCATATCTACTTTCATTTTTAAGTGGGACTATCACATCAATTTCATCTTAATCCTTGCCTCTAGAAATAGTTGACAGTAAATGAAGATGTATTCTGTGTGCAGGACCTTGCAAGCATTCAAAAGCTTGGTTTATTCGAAAAGATTTCCAGAGATAGACACAAGCTGACTACTTCTTTAGAGGCTTTGCAAAGCCGATACGCTTATTGCCGACATCGTGGATGTTACAGAACTGTCGTATGAACGGATCGCCGAGAATCCATTGTGGTCCGAAGCCGTAAGAGCTCATCGGAAACATTGTCAACAGGCATATATCACCAACTTTGATAATGAGATTCTCTGATTCAATCACATAAATTTGATCGCCGATAGTCAAGCTCATTGACACCGTCGCGTTGCACTTCGATGAGGTAGACTTCATAGAACGGGTTGTACTGGAAGGAGATGAAACTAAGCACTCATGTTTCTGCAAGATCTTAGGAGTTGTTAGACAAGCTCACCCTTGCTCCGAACGCATCTGCCACCAGGGAAGCGATCGCCGTTGGAACGCCATTCCACGACGTGCCGGTGTCCGAAATTACCTCCCAGCCCTTCTTGAGCGTCACATATCCTGCGCTGACTTCCTTCAACTGAAACGCAAACAATTAATGTAATCCTCACAAATCACAACAGCTCATCAGCTTGGAGGGGTCTTACTCGGAACTGCCAGTAAAGTGCCGTCGTGAGATTCTCGTATGCAATTATTTCGCCGCAGTTTTCCTTGTCAAGACCACCGTAGGTGTACACGCCTCCATAGGCACCCTTTGCCAAATCTGAACCTGCTCCGAGTTTTGCAGTTGTCCACAAACAAAAAATCTTTGACAATTTCACCTCCTAAGCTTTTCATGTAGACAGTGAATATTGGGTCTACAAGTCCAAGGTCCACAGCTCGTTGAAATGGAGGGTTGACGTTTTTTACAGCAAGTCCACGAAATCCTAATCCGAGAATGCCATCGATCGGATTCTAAATATTAGACTTTCGGAATGTGTAGGAGAATGACGTCACCGGTAGTATTGTCGGTGCTTGCTGCCCTGTATATGTGAATAATCTGTTCGACCATACAACGATCACAAACCCACAAGAGAGTCAATCGAGTCACCGCTCGTAAAAATACTTGTTGAAATTTAGCAAATTACAACAGAAACGCATAGCATAAGTTTTTTGTAATTAAAAATGTGTGTAATACCATGCAGAAGAAAAGTGCGAAGGCATTGCTGCCGAACTTTTCTGTTTGTATAATTTCTCATATCCCAAAGCTTTGATATCAGCAATGACCGCGATGGTACCGAGGAGGTTGAACCCCGCTAAGGGCAACTTGTGGCGGCCGCCAATGTTAAAAGGATAAAGGATAAAGCATTTGCCGTTGATCAATCCCTTTTTGGGATGCGGCACGCATTCTACTTCCATTTGTACATTCGCAGTGGCGTTTGAATGCGATGTGGCCTATACAATGACTTGCGGGGGCCAGCCGATGTTCAAGTCAGTGTTTTTATCCTCCCAGACAAGTCTGGTACCAATTAACCGACCCCGGAGGGATGGAAGGCTTGGTTGGCCCGGGCGACTCACGACCCAGGATTTGATCCCGGACCGCTCGCGTGGTGAGCGCGCCACTTGTCACTACACCACACCACTTCCGCCCCTTTGAGATTATAAAAGCGAATTGTTCGATTTGTCAACGAAAAAAGACATGTTTAGCTGCAAATGAATACAAATATAGATGCAGATTGTACAAGCTTTCCTTTTCTAATAAAACCAGCCATTCAGTGCACACTCGTTACCTTCAAGCAGTCCTTAAGTTGAATCTGAAGATATAATCAAGCAACACAGCTTATTTTCAGTGTAAGGTTATGAAAGGTCCTCACATCTGCGAAAAAGTCTGCAATCTGCTCGGCTTGACCAAACACTGTACCGTGAACGACCAGCTGATTTTCATTTTCGGCTCCAAAACGCACAGTGTCATTTCCAAGAAATCCTTTCGCACTCCCTGTGCCGTACTGAAATAGAGCTCCACTCGAGATGGATACAGGAAAATCAAAGGCATGGGTCGCGATCAGATTCCCAACGGTAGCGATTACTCTACTTTTTCAAGGGGTTAAGAGAGCAAGGGAGGGTGGTCAGTGATACTCCAATAGCGGAAACGTAATAACTTCGTATAGCATAAGCTCAAAGGATCACTTCAATCTGCAATTTCATCTCCAAGGAACTGAGTAGCGACCCAGGAACAACCTACCATGATGTGAACGTCGCGATAAGCCGGTATTATGCATTAAATAATCATAACCGTCCACTGGACTCTTAGATAGCCGGTATTATGTCAACAATCATCCCGTCACTGATAACTCTTCAGACAGGCAAGGACGTAGGTATAGCTACTTGAAGAAATGTGCTATCGGAACGATGCCGCTACTAGCAACGCAGCTCACCCAAATAAACAACTAAAGTAGTGGGAGAAGCGTCAGAGGACAAGTACTTTTGAAGTACTGCTCAGTAATCAGCGCACCTTTCGTCGCTAAATCTCTGCAGTTCACTCCCTTGGCAGTCTTTATACTGGTTTGCCTGACGCGTTCCCTAGTGCGCACAATCTTTATCCTAATCATTCCTTCGGAAAATTCGCTCCCTAAAAGCAAGTTCCGTGATAAGGGAAGCTCACCTGTACCATCCCCGGTGGTAGTAGGCACATGATGTCGCGCTTCCTTTGCGGCTTGAAACTGCGCGACAAAAGCGGTAAAAGGTCGCTTGGGCCGAAATCCACACCTTCCCCGCAAGCCCCGCATTCTGCGATCGGCTACAACGTGACACTGCGAAAAAAGCGCGGGTGGCATGTTTTCGTTGTTCATTGTTTCATTGTCAATATCATTGGTACAGGAGCAACTGGGTCTAGGTTCACGCCCTTTTTCGCTCTCTAAGAGCAATGCGATTGAAACAGAGTAGGTCCTTATTCGAAGCATCATTGGGGTTTCCGTGCTTTCTTTTTCTTTTTCAGACTGCCGTTCGCCTCCAGCCTCATCACCGAACGCTCTTTCACTCCTATTTTATTCTCTAGGCTTGTCTTTCAGTGCGATCGCACTTCTAATCGAAATTGTAGTGGTACTGTAGTGTCTTGATAGTCAGGTTATGCCCTCGGTTGACCAACGCGACCGCTGCCATTTTTACCATCGCAGGATACGCGGCGTCCGCGCCCTTTTGCTGCTTTTGTTTTTTTTTTCACCAGCGTTCTACCTTGCATGCACATTGTCTGATTTTTGATCAAATAACACTCCAAACACATCGCGACCCTTGCCTTTAAGCCGGAGTAGTGTACTTGCCAAAAAGTTCGTCGGATTTGTATGGCTGATTCTTCGAAAATAAGGTATCGCATTACTTGCAAGAATGGTATTCATTTAGTCAAAATAGCCTTTCATCAAACAAAACTCACTGCAATTTTGAACTCCGTTCTGTTCGCAAGCTTTACGTAGGTCTCCGATTCACTCGAATTGAAGGAGTGCTTTCCCTTACAGGGATTCTTCTGTCTCTTATTGCTTCCTGCATTGTTTTGGCAACACGTGGGTTCTGGGCAGAAAACTTTGCAAATCACTGAAATCACTTCTGCAACCAAATTCAGTCATGGTTACTGAACATTGACTTAAAGCCACGAGTCAGGATTAGGCAACCAGCAGAAGTTCTTCCCAGGGTGCGATAGTGGGCTCCCCAAGCACTGAGGGCGCGACACTATCGCGACCCAAAAGTGCGCGGTAATGGCGCTAAGGCCTTACGTGGTCTCTGCGTCCTCTCGCGTACGACATACTATCTCGCGTTCTCCCTCTCCTCGCAGCGCTGTGTCTCTCCGTCGTACTACGGCCGGCCTCCTAAGGGAAATTTAGTGTTTTCTATGGTGCTTTTTGCTTTTTCTCCTCACTAATGTTCCTCATTGCACCCCTTGCCTAATGTTTGAACAAAATAACGCATCCATTTCAATCCTGACTACGTGCTCTTAAAGGAATCTTCCACGGAAAAAGCTCCGCCCTCATTACCACAGAAAACGATACCTTAAAGGAATCTTCCACGGAAAGAGTGATCATTTTGTCTTGTGTGTAGGATTAGTATTATCGAAACTAACGCTTATGTTCCGTTCTTTTTGCTATGCTCATGAGGCTAGGGGCCTAAGGGGTATCGTTTTTCTGTGGTAATGGAGGCGGAGCTTTTTCCGCGGAAGATTCCTTTAATGTAAATAAGTGGTAACAACTGGAACATAAGCCAGTCTGTGGCTGAGATTAGCACGAAAAATTAGGATGCTTACGACAGTTCACAGTTCAGATATGCATATATTATGTAGTATGTTAGGCTGATTTCGTGCCACTTCAAACATTTGTTGAGCTGACATCATTTCAACAAAAGCAATATCGTCCATCAGCTAATGGCCTACCACCGTCAAAGGCTCGGTGCCAAGCGATTTACTGTAGAGTCGATGCCGTGTTCCAAGGTTAGCTGTAAATCTGAAAAGGGCATTGAGGTCGATCTCGAGGTTCCCCATTTGATCATATTTTTTCGCCCGAAAGATGACCTGCTTGGCGAGAAATTGGAGTCCTCGGAGGAGGCTGATCTACGCTGCATGGTTTATCTTGTAGGATTTTTCAAATAATTTTCATAATGTAGAGCACGTCGTTTTCGGAACGTGTGGTTTCGATCGTCGTTGAGCAGAGATAGGTTGTATTTTGAGGCATATTTGATGGAGTTTCCTTACCAGTCTTAGGCGTTGATTGCAATAGGCTGCGTGCTGGGAGGCTGGAGCATGTGAGGAAATTTTGGTAGTTGATTCGCGAGCAGCTTACTAGTATACATGGACCGAGCCTTTCCAGCTAAACGTTTTTCACGAGTTTTTTGGCTCTTTTTTATCGATCCTGTTACCGTTGCTTCTGCTAATGTTCACCAAGAACCAGCACTTCTCATATGCGATAGCATTCAGCCATCGTCTACATGGTGAACAGGATAGGTGATGTAGTTTGAACTGGTATTAAATCTTGTTATTACTAGTCAATCCACGAGAATTCCTCTGCGCAAGCTTCAACAATTCGCTAAGGAAGAGAAGACCTCCTTAACTGTGTTTCCAAAACAACTGAATGTGGCGATAACGTGGCTCGTCAAGATAACTCGTGCGGGTTGGTGGAACACAGCAGGTCCAAATCGCACATTAGTCCTCCTTCTAGGCCGTAGTTTTCTTTTCGTGGGAGATGTAACGATTCTCATGCAGCGTGGTGTATGAAGTCAAGGGGGTGTAGTAAGCAAATCTTGCTCCTGGATTCGACCAATCATGGCTCAGTAGAAGTTTATGAATCGAAGCGCAAAAACCATTGTTCCTTTCTTTTATAATGTTCAACTCGAAGAAAGCAGGTATAGCTGGCTTGATACACTTGTAGATTTCTACTCGCGGAACTTCTTCTCACCCTACCCCAAAATATTCAAAAATCGCTTAGCGAAAATTTTACGTGTACGTGAGGTCCAAAAAAGTGACACGAGTTTATGAGGACACCCTAATAACTTGTCTGAAGGCGGATGTCACGATAAACTGAGTGTGGAAGATAGCCGATATGCCTACTAAAAGAGAAGCCACGCTACCGAGGAGTTGTGTACCACGGGCGCCCATCGCGGTCCAGGAAATCCTAACCGTGGTTCTTAACCCGTCTTGGTAGGGCCTATCGTGGAGGACTCGAGCAAGGATTGATTGGATGCTAATACTGCTCCCTTTATGTTTTGTTCTCCTCCCGATATTGAGTAGGCACTGCGTTATCCATCAAAAGATGATGATAGTTGGCATGATATCGGCTAACAGGGTTAGCACCGACAAAGGAGCTCCTTTTGGTTTCCTGCTTGTCGTAAGCGGAAATCAACGAGAAGAAGGGTTCTCATTCCCTGGTTTCAGGCTTTTCTCTCGAGTTTTTCTTGGTCAGTACACTACTCACCACCCCTTCTTTCAGGTGTAATGAGCAACAATTTTTCGTCCATCCGCCTTCAACAATGTCGACCTACAGTGGTTTTCGAAAATTATTCGTATTTTCAATAATGCATTGTGCTATTACTTACAACCGGGATCACATTTCGACTGGTCGCATATTTCCCGTGAGTGCACACATGTCTCATCTGGTATCCACAGATTCGAGCTGCCAGTATCCAAAACGACCTGATGGAGAAATGATATACTACGTACATATATGTAATGGCTCACAATTTTAACCTCCGCTTTTTCAAAAATAGACTTCTATCTGCTGTTAGTTTTATATTTTGAACCCATTTATTGCGTGATTATCATTCCACTTCGATGAACCTTCCTTATCAGTTGAGAGAATTGACAAAGGATATGCACGTTATCCTCATTGAAAGGATATGAGATAGAACAAACTTGCCCCCCACCTGACCAGGATATCTAGCGGTTTCGTGCAACTAGTACGAAAAGAGCCGGAAAATGTGTTTTCTGTGAGAATGACTACTGCCTCTGAGTCGTTCCTCACTGTAGACGCTACCTGAGAATTACGGATTGACGAATGGAACAAGAGTTTGTAAAGAGGACAGATATTGATCGGAATCTACAAAACACAATGAGGACGGATTGAGCGAATTCCTTGAGAATCATTCCTTGATTCCCATGGAATCTCCTATTCCACATCTGTAACCATTTCATGACGGATCGGACAACGGTCACATCGCACAGGGTTGATCATCAATTGTGGAAAGTTCAGCGAGGAGGGTAGTCGTACAGGACTTTCCATAACTTTGTTCAAAAACCGCGGAAGACGCAGATCCGCATCTTTTTCGCCTTTTTATTATAATTTCAGTTTTTACCCACTTTTCTGAAAGAAAACGATTTCATTAGACTCATTCTGTAAGACCACTCTCTCAAACTCCAGGAAATTTCATTTTTTAATTGCAAAGTGCCTAAAGCATCTCTCACTAGCGAGCGTAGCTCGCTATTATCATCACCAAGGAAGAGGACTTCTAGTGAAGGTTTGCTTTGAGTCTACTGTGCTTCTTTCTGATTTCTGAAATATGATGAAAATGAGATTAGTGTCTCAAAGCTTTCTTCATAGAACCTCAGCATTCTTGTTGAATGCTGTGTTTTTTCTGCCAACGGTTTTTAGGTGACAAATTTATTAGCGACCTGACGTTTCGACCCGATCGTCGTCCTCAAAGGTCTAAACATGGCTCAAAGTTTGACAAAAGTTTGACAAATGCGTAACCTTCCGTCAGAAACGCTAGGGAGAAGAGGCGTTTGGCGGTGTAGATGGCATTTCTCAAACCTTGAGCCACGTTTAGGCCTTTGAGGAAGACGATCGGGTCGAAACGTCAGGCCACTAATAAATTTGTCACCTAAAAACCTCGTTGGCAGAAGAAAAACACAGAATAGCAATGAGATAAGGGTATTATTTGCTGCTGATCATTTTGATACCGATTTTTTTCAAGAAAGTTTGACTGCTCGTACGCCATGTTGAAAACTCGTGAACAGTGAGCAGGACAGTTCAGGAGAACGAATGGAAAAAAGATCAGCGAGTATCCAGGAAAAATGTTTCATATTTTTGAAGGCTCTACATTTTCGTTAGCTTTTTTCCAGCTTCAGAGATTTTAAAGATTTGATTACAAAGGATATTACTTATTGAAATTTTCAAATTAGCATGTGCACGAAAATAGCATAGCAGATGCCATAACCTCCTCCACAGGCACTTTACCCTATTTGGACTCCAAATTGTGCCGTTCGCACATTTTCCGTGCGAAGGCGAGTTTTTGGGTTTCAGCGGCCATACCTCACTTCACTTTCATTTCTGTGGTCCGCTTTGCCTGGGTAGGAAAGTACAGTATTTGCTCTTCTAACAAGTACTGAGCCGTTTCTCAACGTTCATTCTTGTGGCGCCGCGACTATCTATGCGTTAAGGCCGCATTCTGCGGTTCTTCTGAATAACATTATTCTTCCTCAAAATAAATCGTTCGGTCACTCAACTAAGGTTCACGTCGGTCGTGAATAACAAATGCAAAGGACAGGGAGAAATCTCTATTCGCTTTTCGCGCATAGATCAAAGACATACCGTATAACGGGATAGTCACAGCTTACGGGAACACTCACAATTCAAACCATATCTATGATGTCTCGGAATTGTGTCTCTACGTGTTTTGTTCTATAGTTGTTAGGAAAGGAGCGCGGGTTTTTGGCCTCCATTTTCAAAGAGGCATTTTCCACTCAAATTCAACATCTTTAGCAAGAAACAAACAAACAACTGTTAGAAGTGCTAATTGTACTCAACAAGATACACACTTGTGTCCCGTCCACGTGAAAATGAGCATTTCTGGAGGCATTAATATCATTGAGCGTCTTTTTCCATCGATTTAAACTTTGAAGCATTTCTTACTTGAGAAGTAGCCACTATGGTTGGGAAAGGTACTATTTGTGAGGGGAAAGTCTAGTAAGCGCGTCATGTTGAGCGAAGATTCGTGCGCTAGTCGTCCAATCTTTGCGAGGTCGTTTACAGGACAGTGTGGCTGAGCGCCACCATGAAGGAGGGTTGTTTCATTTCTCTCGGTTGACGAAGTTGGTGTTTCTAGAGCATCTCATCGGTACGCTGGAGAGATATTGGTGTTATAAATTCACCTGCTGCCTTAAAGCTGCGATGCATCAATCCCGTAAAAGACGCCAAGTGATCAGCCTTTGTCGAAGCCAACCTTGTCTTGTACAATTTCGGTTTTGTCCGAGCTTCAGTGTCATTTCAACAGATCCATGATGCACTACTTCAGAATTTGAGCACGTCGAAGCATACTTTCCTAAAGCCCTTAAGCTCAAACCTTTAAAGACCGCTGTGGTCACTTCCACTTGTGACACCAACACTTCGTGGAGCTGACGTGTATGCAACAAACTGATCTTCCTAATTATGAAACTGGCATCCGTTCTTACGTCGACGAAAACATTTTTGTGTCGTCGTCGTAGCGTGTGGCGGTTTGTTCTTTCGTCTGTCTGACTTTTTGAAATACTTTTTTTTACCTTCACTATTTCTCCTCTAGCTTCTGATAAGTCACCTTAGGCGTCGACTTGCTCTTATAGCTTTGTAGCTTCCTTTTCATTGCCGGATCTTTCCCCCTATTTCTGGTTTTTCCTAGCATCCCGTTAAGGTTTTTCATCGATCACATATGGCTCGTGGGTCAACGCGCAAACCATCGGACACAGGGAATGAGAAGGAGATCCCACTGTGGGCCTCCATGATGATGGATCAGTATGTCTCCTGCGCTGATAGGCTTGAAAAAGCCCTAACTTCGTCGCTCACTAAACTAGTGGAAAAAATCGAAGAAATGGATGCTCGTCAAAATGAAATTCTCTCCCGCATCGCTGCCTTGGAAAATTGTGTCTCTGCTCTACAACGATCAAGGCCAGTGGATCAGACGATGCTTTATTCCACAATCGTGAAGGCAAGAGTGGACGGTGAGAAGATTGATGAAAAACTCAGGCGTATCACGTGGGTGGGCATAGGAGAGCAAAGCGATGAGCTGACGACAAGGAAATTTGACGCAGAGGCTTTAAAAGAGGTGGTCCAAACCTCAGGGGATCAGGAGTTGATGGAAGAGTTCTCCAAGGGAAATATAAATGCTCGCCGTTACCCAGCAGTGAGATCGAGGAACATCAGTCGTGACCGCATCATCAAGATTGAACTGCCGTCTCAGGCACTGAGGGATAGGCTGTTGCACCACATGAGATCGGGACGCCAGAGCCTAACTAGGCATTTCGTCCACTCTTACGCGCGCCGAGACTACACGGAAGAAGAACTGGAGCTGGATCGGGCGTTACGCAAGCAGGCGGGAATATCGAATGCGGAACTGGGAAAGCTTCAGTTTGTGGTGCGAGACCTCAAGATATGCAAACTGAAAAATCCAAGAGAGCTTCCGCACCGCTCTTCCTCTTCCTCCCAAGAAGGTGCGACGACCTTCTCGAAGATCTCTGCCTGGCTCCATGGACGCAACCTCGTCGCGCTCTGCCTATCTTACTCCTTCCCCATAGGGCCAGGCGTCTCAGTTGCACAGACCAGAATGCGCTCCCGGCTCTAGCCATCAGTTTCTGAACAACTTCTTCCTCTTTAATGCCCGATCTATTAATAACAAGCTTCCTGAACTCTATGTTTTATTGTCACATAAGCCTTCTGGTCTGTTCATAACTGAGACGTGGTGTAAATCATGTAAAATTAATGATAGTACTTTGTCCGCCGATTACCCGTATCATGTGTATCGCTGCGATAGGGATGGGGATACTCCGGGTGGTGGTGCAGTAGCTATGATCAGGAATGATATTCCCTCCTCCCTTATATCATCGCGCAACTTTTCTTTTACCTCCAGTGCGTGGGGTTGTGAGGTTATCCCCTCGTGTGTGAGGCTTGATTTGTATCCCGTCTCTCTGCTACAGAAGTCCATCATGTTCTAGCGATGATTTTCAGAACCTTCTTCTTTACTTTGAAGAGCTGTGCGAGAATCATTCACCTCTCATCATCCTCGGAGATTTTAACTTTTTCGACATTCCGTGGGCTCGATTGGAAGGTTCCAAGCACGAAGCGCCTTTGTAGGCAAAGCTCTCTTTTTCTCGGAATTTTATTAATTCTCACAACTTCACTCAAATGGTGCTGGAGCCTACACGTGATAGGAATATCTTAGATCTAGTCCCTTACCAATCGTCCTTCTCTCATTAGCAGCTATTCTGTTCGAGCTCCTTTCTCGACGTCGGATCATGCTACGGTGACTTTTTCCTTGTCTAAAAGTAAATTCGGAATTCCCCCAAAGGTTTACTTACAATTTTGCCAAGGGAGATTACACATCCATATGTCGCCGCCTTCTTTCAATTGAATGGCATCATGTTTTCGACACTATTGAAAAAATTGATGATTGCTATTTCGTTTTTGTTGACTTCTGCCACTCTCTCATTTCTGAGTTTATTCCTCTTCGTCGTAAGGCCAGTGGATCCTTGAAACTTCCCCTTTACCTCAAAGCACTGCAGACTGAAGTGGAGCACATTTGTCCAAAAATGGGAATTACCTACGTAGCTCGCGCTATCTCTACTTGTCACACCTACTTCAAAAGAAACTGGCTAAACTCAAACTTATAAGCATAAATTGAGCGTGTTGATTCTTCGGAATCAGAGTATTGCGGAGTATTTTCAAACTTTTTATAAGGAAGAAACTCAGCCACCAGTAGATGATGTTACACTACCTGATTCCACCC